GCTGCCGCTGCCTCGACGTGCGGCCGCGCCCGGGGCTGCGCTCCGCAGCCGTCGGGAGAAACTGCGGGGAAGAGGGAACTTCTGGAAAAGCGCAGCGCCAGGGAAAAGCGGAATATAAGTTGGGCCGTGAGTAAAGGGACGTCTCGGGGCAGCAACGCCGTGAGCTGCCTGAAGCTGAGCCTGTTGCTGCGGGCAAAGGGCACCGCGGCTGTGCTTCTCTGAGCAGCGCGCTGCACGAGTGTGACAGCTGGCTTGTAATTCTGCTGCGTTTGATACTTTTGTCTCCTTTTAAGCGTGCGGCGGTGCCAGGCAGGCTGCCGGTGTGAGCCCTCCAGCCGCCGCTCAGCGGACTGTAAAATACACGTATTTTATTTATTCTGAAGCTGCGTGTGCCTGGACTCGGCTAGCATGGAGCAGAGCTCGGTCTAGAGCGTTTCGGGCAAAGTGTTGGCTACCAGCGCTGCGGCTTTGAGCACCTTCGCTCCGCTGCTGATAGCCCGGTGTGGTTCCTGGAGACTTTAAAATGGCAGATTTAAAACATCATTTCGAAGACAGCTCACTCTCTGCGCCCTTAAATTGAAGTTCCCTTTCTGCCGGAACAGAGCCATTAACGGCAGCCACCGCGGTGTCGTTTCTAAATAGAAGTTGCTATGCGGGCAGGTACTCACCTTTTCCTGAAAATTATTAAAAAATGGAAGTTATGGTGATGGTGTGGACCACCACCATACGTGGCAGACCGATTAGAAAATGGGCTTAATGGTAGTTGTAATGGGAGAAGAAAATCTTGGAGGTAATTGTGGTGCGTCAAATTGCTTCATAAACTTTCAGTGGTTGAAAGCCACCTTGATTCTCCCAATTATGTACTTCTGAACTCTAGCAAAGTATTTTGAAAAAGAATCACTGTTTCCACTTTCATTGAACGGAAATGTTCTTCTTTAGAAGTTTTGTCTGAGTGTATAACTTTGGACCCTATACTTCAGTCTGTCACTTGAGAAATCAAATTCGATATCTTCTTACTGAAAATTAAATGACAGGGCACTTGAGCTGTTGTGCACAGGGGAATACTTTCCAGGTTCATTTACTCTAGAGCCTGTGTCTGAGAAGTATAATGAAGTCTTGCTTAGTAGTGTGATCAGTTGCAGAGGAGGGAGAGAGGGAGGCAACCATTAAGTAAATGGTCATGTTTTGGGTGAGGCTGTCTCTTGCTTTCAGCCTTCCCAGTGTTCAGCCATATCTTCCTTCGGCATCTTACAGTACAATAGTGTTTTCACTATCTTTCATTTAACGTTTTGCTTTTTTTTTTCTTTCTAAAAGCAACAAGTTTTACAAGTGTTCAGAAGATTTATTTGGTGCATTGTTACATGTTGAAAAATCACAGATAAAATTACAGAGGAACCACTTGAAAAAAAATATTTTGAGATAATAATAGAGGTTTTTTCCTGAAAAATTATTAAATATATTTGTATCTTTCTTTTTATCATCATGACTTTTATTTTCAGATCCTAGGGCTCTCTGCTTGCAACTGGTATAACATGACCCTCCCTTTCCTTATCTCTTTTCTCCTTTTCTTTCTTTTGCACCAGACCCTGTTGAGACATCCAGCCCTAAAAACTTGAGGTTTTAAGTTTTTCTTTCTAAGTCATCTCCAAAGCTGCAGCTGCTTATCTTGGGCAGAAGGCTTTCTGTGTTCTAAAGGGTAAGTGGCTGCTGCTGCTTTCTCTTGATCAGGGCTTCACAGAGGAGCAGTTCCTCTTTGAAGGCAAAAGCTGCCATGTTCAGTCTCTTGCTGCCGTACAAGAACTTTGCCAGGGCCACAGACACGTCTATGGTACAGTGGTGGAGCTAGGAAAAAGTGATTTGAAAGTCCTCCCAAGACTTAGAGTTGACAGCTTGGACAGATCTAGAAGCAGAGAAGTGGATTAGAAGGTACAGAGAAATGGTGTTATTTTTTATATAGCTGAAGCTCATGTTTGTCTCAAAAAAAAAAAATAAATAAAAAAAAAAATTCCTACTTTTCCGCCCCTCAACCCCCCACACCCTCAAGGCAGAGGTCTTTCAGTTTGAATTGAGTTTGTGATTGTTGAGAGAGCCATGGGAGTGGTGTCATTAGATGCCAGTTAGATTGAACATTATTGCCAGATCCCTGCTTTTTCAGAAGTGCTGGTTTTCTAATGTGTTCTTTTCTCATTCGTTGAATATTAGAATTGTCAAGTCCATGGTCTTGGTCCTCAAATGAGAAGAAAAGAGGTAGGCATCCAGATCTGAAGAATGTTGTTGGCCTGGTATAGCCTGATGTTTCAGGGTTGCTGCAAACTTGTACTTCAGTTGTGTGTCTTAACTTTTTTGGACACTTGATGTATGAAAAAGCCAAATACATGAGGTGTATTTCAGCGCAGCTGTATTCACGGGGGGGGAACTGTGACAGGACTATACTCAGTGAGCTGATAGAAAAGAAAGAAAAAAGGAGGATTTCCCTCTGTATCAGAAGAGAAGCTTTGATCTCCAAAACAGCTTTCTCTTCTTGCAGGTGTTGCAAAAAATTCTCAGCTTTTGCTTGCAGATTTTGTTGTTTCCACTGACAGTTTTGGTAACTCCCTGAAGTTTTGTTGGGTGTGTGAGAAGGAGCAAGGACTTTCCCCACCACAGTGATTCAGCACAGGAGTGGCAGAAGGTGGAGTTCACCTCTCCAGCCTTGGTTACAATCTGCACCATAAGCTCTGAAACTTTGCTACCATATGCCAGTGATTTATGGTGCTTATAATTTTAATGCCACTGACGTGTTTTAGAGATTATTTGTATTCTTAAATCTTGCTTTCTTAAATCTTACCTAAGTGTTTCTCCACAGATAAAGTAGTTGACAGAGACTTTAGATGCTGGAATTTTAAGTCTTTTGCTTATCAAAAGTCTGCAGCAGCCGTGTGAAAGGCTCTGGATGTTTTCACTTTCCTGACCTGACCTGGCTAATCTATGTAGACGTAAAAATGATTTATTCTTCAATATGAGCCTGTCCTTTGGCAAAGCTTCCCACTGATTCCATGGTTGTACTGAGAGGATCCCATTGGATAGGGACCAAAGTGTATGCATTCTTACCTTGGTCTGCTTTAGGCTTTACCTGTCAGCCATCTTCAGTGTTGAATCAGAGGCTGGAGCTCAGGTCATGTGTTTGTCCTTAAAGAGCTCACTCCTCTTGTGTCATGTGGAGTTTGTTCAAGGTTCAAGCAGGCTTCAATGTGAAACTGATAGTAGTTTGGTTAGCCTGGAAAGAATCCCCAATTCCTAAATTTGTGTGTAAAAATTATTTGTCTCTATACTGGGGGAAAGGATACTATTGGTTAGGATAATTTGCTGGGAATAGGAATGCTAAGTACATAGGTTGGAAACTGTGGGAAAGGGTTGATTTGGGATGGATTGAATGTCACTCTTTTCATCTATAATTAGATATTTTAGTCTATTCCTAGAACACACTATATTTAACTCCTCGTCAACATTTCTGTGTGAATATACCAAATCCATTTTTTGTTTTGAGGGGAATGTGCTGCACTTCTTGAATGCTGCCGTTAGTGTACTAACGGTTTCACCGCTGCACTTGTGAGCTTCTTCCGCATTTCTTTCACCTCCTAGCGTGGTAGTGGTTTGACTTCTGTAGTGGGTGCAGTTTAAATGTCATACCACACAAGTCTTGAGTTTCTGTGTTGGAAGACAGGAGTGAGCTTGGGTGATTTGAATTTTTATCTGCTCTTGAGAGAAAGAAACATTTTTACTTATTTTGGCTGCATATACTGTTTTGTCATGCTGTATGTTCCTCTAGAGTTACTTGTGTTTTTCGTGAGATCCTTTGGTGGAGTGAATAAAGCTAACAGGTTAGAAGAAAACTACCTTGGTCTGCTGAGCTTTGTATCAAGTAATTTCTGCTGTTCTCCAGTTTTTAGCTATCTTGGTGTTTATTCAATTTTACATTGCAGCTAGGGAAAGAAGCAGCAAAATATAATTGTGAAACTGCAGTTACAATTTGTGATACCCAGTGCTGACCACTGTCAGAAAATTAATGTTTAACTTGCCCTTCCAACCAGACTCAATTTCAAGTTAAGAGCAAATTGACAAGGACAGTTTCCCCCTATTTGTGTCTGCTACATGTGCTGCCCTACATAATTTTGGAGCTTACAAGAATAGTTTCCCAAGGATGTGATGACATGGTTTGTTTTTAGTGGAGGCTGGCTTTCCAACCAGAAGATGACCCTTGTAGGAAGAGCTTTCATAAAAACTGTGTCTTGAAGGCACCAGGGCTTGCACATTGTCTGCTGATGACAGAACTTGCCTGGTATTGTCCTTGGAGGTGCTGGTTACATTGTCCATTGCATCCTCTTCACGAGTCTTGTGTTTTGGGCTGTCATTCCTCTGCCTCCAGAGCCTCTTTAAACTATTTACTCTCTGTAGCTATTCAAGCTTTGTCCCGATGCCTGTAAATTGGGCATGCAAATGAGAGTATTAGCTATTGAGAAAATAATTGTGAAGCTTACAGGCTGTGGAGGGCAAAGGGTCGCAAACAGCGCACATTGCAAGAATTCGCTTCCCTGTCTCATGGTGCCTCTGACCGAGCTTGTTGAGAGCTACATGTGCCCAGCAAAGGGCTCCAGGTACTCTTGGTGCTGAGCTATTGAGAGGCCATCCAGTTGTTTCGAGTTTGTTTTTTTTTAAAGACCAACTAATGCTTATTTCAAGGAGAGAAAAGGAACTATAGAGAGGAAGTGTCTATCTGGGGATCTTTCTTCTTTACAGAAAAAAGATAGTTTAGTCATATGAATGAAAATGAAACTTTCTGTGTTGAAAAACTGTCTAAAGTTTGCAGAGGACGGCTTGCAGCATTTTCGAAAGTGCTGCTCCTTTTCAGTGCAAAAAGTGTATTTCTTTTAGGATCAGTTCAAAGCAACAATGAAATAAGTTACTTTTGAAGCAACTAAGTGAACACAGTTTTAATTTGTCTGAAGGGCTGTAATCTGAGCAACCTGATCTAGTTGAGGATGTCCCTGCTCGCAGTAGGGAGGCGGACTAGATGACCTTTAAAGGTCCCTTCTGACAGGAACTATTCTATGATTCTTGCACAGAAACCATTGATTTAGACCATTTAAATATGGACTGTGAAGGGATTTCCAGAGGAAAAAGCAGCAAGAAAGTTACTTTTAGGAGAATATTTTCCTGTTTGGGCACTTCTGAAATACATGTATCTGATTTTGAATGCTTGATGTAATGCAACATTCTACCATTTGTTTTTATAAAGACCTAATTGTCTTTTAGAATGGTTCTTTAAATGACACGTATTAAATCTTGTTTCAGTGGTACTGGACTAGAAATAATTCTCAACAGTAAGAAATATTGAAAAACTTTTGCCAAACTACAAGAAAAGAGCTTGGACTTGCAAATGTTTTTTGGTTTTTGTTTTTTTTTTTTAAATTATAACAGGGGTATTTGCAGAAAAGGTTGAATACTTTTGAAGCAATGTAGCTAGAAGGGTATCTTTTGCATCTAGATTCCGGTGTTTGTAATGTTTAAAGCCTCTCTTATGGGTGCCATATGTTTAGGTGGGCTTTGGAAGTGTTATGTTAATTTGTGCTTTTAGACTTGATAAACAGAAAAGCTATGATGACATTTATTGATATATGATGACGTGAAATCTGTGCATTTGAGGGGAGAGACGGTAGCAGTTATTGCTTGCAAATAGCTAGCTGGGTAAAATCATATTGCCTTGAGAGAGGAAACCCAGGACTACTGATGAATGCATGCTGCACAGATGTAACATGGCAGTAAATAAAGGAAAGGGAAAAAAATCAGTGAGAAGTTTGTTGGGTTCATTTTTTCTGCCTTAAATGAGGATCTCTAGGTGGGGTGAAACTTCTGTATGGAGAAAGCAGTTTCTTTCTGACAGAGGCTGCCTTTGGAGAACCTGTTACACTGTCATGAACAAGCCTGGTATTTATTAACTAGATGGGAGAATAATGCTAGTGCCTTGATGCTGGCTCTGGTATTTTCTCACACCGTGTGCTTACAGAGCTTTGGAGCACAGTGCTTCAGCCTCACACCAGCTGCTTTTTCACTCCTAAGTGAAGGCAGCGTATGTAACTTCCCTGCTGATTTGGTGGCACATCCCATTAAACCCAGGCAGCAGCGGTTTGCATGGATGTGCCCTAGAGCACAGGCGGGAGGTTTGTGCTATGCAGGTTGGATAGTGAACTGTCCGGGAGGTGATGGGTTGTAAATCCTTAAACAGCTCATTTAGCATCTGCCCAGGCCCTTAGCTTGCCCTTAGGTAAGACTCAACAGGAAAACTGTATTACTTGAGGTAAAGTTGCAGTTTAAACACTAGACCTATGTTTTTGTGAGCATGTGAGCCTGCACTAGTCTAATTTAATTTAAAATGTGCCTTTAGTGAATCTGTCAGTGGTGGGCATGGTCATTCCTGGATGTTTCCTTGGCAGTAGCACTCATCCAGCTGCTTGAGGACTCCTATCCTCATTTTTTCTTGCTGACAGCATGGATTGTTTCTTAGTGCTTTATTGCCTTCCCCTCCTATCTGCAGTCCAAGCTGTTTGCGAGAGCAACCTTTTCCTTATCTGGTTCAGCCAAGATGGGCCAAGTTGACAAGTCAGATGTCGATGCCACAGAAGTTGCTGGGCTGGTTGACTGAACCAGGTTAGGGACTGATTTCAGAGTGGTGGAACTGTGGAGTTTGTAAGAGCTGGGGTTGAGCAATAGAAGGAAGGATGAAGTAGCACAGTAGTCCTTGGAAAAGGACCATTTTTCATGGCCAGTGTTTCAGAAAAGCAGTTCTTAGAATGATTGACCAACTTTCTTCTACACATCACATTAAAACTTGTTTTCCAGTTAATTATCTGAACACCACAGCTGGATGCTCCTGATTGAGAAGAGGAATGTGTTAACTAATAAATTAAGTATTGCCCAAAGTTATGTAAAGGCATGAGACTTAATAATGTAAAATGGGAGAAAAAGTTGTCTGTTGTTAGTTTGGGATCATGTGGAAATAAAAGCTTTCGTTGAAGGCAGAAGCTTGGGCTTTTTGTTCTTTTTACTTCAGAGAAGTAAAGTGAGGAGAAGGGGAAGGAAATGCAGGGATGAGAACTGCATTGCTGCAGTTTTGAAAGAATGTTAACTTCTTGCTTTGTTTAAAAATATTTTAGTTATTCCTGTTTGCTAAATTAGGTTATTGTAACGAAATGATGACCTTTGCTCTGAGCCTGAAACAATCCAGAAGGAAAGCAGGTGTTCGAGAAGATTAAACCTCTTACCTCAGCTAAGAAGTGTTCTGGTAGGGCCGGAGTTCTAAGGGTGCCATATTCGTGCTGAGACTGAAAATGTAAGAATGAGGAAGAATTTTAGAAGTTGATTATGGTCAGTTGCCAAGAGCAATGCCATGATAAATTATTAACTCATTGCACTGTACTGCCTTGTAGTGCAAACAGAATAGCTGGTTATTGTGCTCTGCTTGGTAAGTCAACACTGTAAAAAATTCCTCAGTTATCTGGAAAATGTCTTCTTTGGGGTGTTTATTAAAGGGATATGGTAGAATTAAAAACCATGTTCCCCTTTGCTGAAGCTGGTTAAAACCAGTAGAAATCCATGAAGGCAGTCTGTCTGGGGAGCCCGGTCAGTGGTTGTCGGTCAGCTCAGTTTCACTTTTGCTCCTCTCTTTTCACAGTGCTTTGGTGTGGTGTGGTCCCCCCACCTTCCCCAAAAACACACCGGAGCAAGGCAGTTGGGCTGTTAAGTGCAGAGACGTGAGACAGGTTGACTCATAGCTGTTGTGCTGGAAAAGCTGTTCTGTGGAGACCACTCCTCCTGTGTTAGCTGTAACTGAGTCAGAAGAACAAATGCAGGAGCATGTGGCTACCTTGCTGATGCCGTGCAGCAACCGTCTCAAGGAACAAATTTGCAATCTTTTAAGAATTAAGTCATCCTGATTTTTGTCCTCCCCCTCTTATATTAGCCCTATGCGTCTTACATTAAATGTCTAAGTCAGTAATCTATAATTCATGTAATAGATAAGAATTTGCATGTAAATATTACTTTTTGTGTTGTTATGCTTAGAGCTAGTACCATAGTAATACACCATGAAAATAAATATGAGAATTTTGAAATGTTTGCTGTGATAAAATCTGTTTTTCTGTAGCAGGACACAGATGAACTTTCAGGGTTAAAAAGAATATCCAGCTTGAGAGCAAATAATTTCTGGACCAGTGTCAGAATCTGCCACCCCAGTTTTCTTAGGAAAACATTGAATCCTGCCAGTACATGTTGCAAGATATGACCAATGTGACTTAAGAACTAAGAAGCAAGTCTGCAGAATGCTGTTGGCTACATAGTATTGTTGGAATCTGAGATGGAAAAGACTTCTTTTTTTTTTTTCTTTTTTTTTTTCAGTTCTCCTTTTGCCAGTCCAGCAAATTTAGTAAGGTTCAGTTCATGCTGAAAGGCTTTTTTTGTTCAGAAAGGCTTTTGAGCAACCATTACTTTTTGTATTTTATTTTTTTAATTTGTTGGCTGCTTGGGATTACTTGAGTACTTGTCAAGGGTGGGACACGTGTTTTAAGTGGATGTCAGAAGTGCTGCCGAAGCAAATGTTTTCTTAGTGTCTGATGGGTCCTAGTTTAGGGCTTTCATTCTGATTTCCAAGGCATGAAGAGATCAAGCATTCGGTGACACGGAGTGATGTAGTCTTGTCTTCTGAGGCAGGGGACAACTGTGGTTCTGTGGAATAACTCATGTGGTCACAGAGCTCATGTGGGAACATGGAAGCCAGGGACAAAATATGCTCTGTCAGAGTAACCTAATATTTCTGAGTTGGAAATTAGGAGAATTTGGACCCTGTTCTTTTTCAGGGAATTGCAAACCTCTGACTTTGAGGTGGCAGTTCTACTAAGAGTGGCAGTCACCAAATGAAGGTGTTTCTATCTTGAACCGCTTTGGGATAGGGATGGAGACCATGATAGGATGGAGCACCTTGGTTCCATGAAGTGTAAAATGTGTCAGATACTCCTTGAAATCCAGTGAGGATGTGTACTGCTTTTAAGTTTATGCAGGAAATTCTCCTAGACTACAGCAGTATGTGATAGCGTTAAATCAACTAAATATCTACTGGTTGATATATTTCCCCAATTAATTACATGACTGACATGTCTTGCTTTAATTGGTAGCCCTGGAGATAACAACACAAAATTGGTTTTCCTCCGTTTTATACCACCAGTTGGCCATTGATGGGGGAAGGATATGAGGCCATCTTAATTTCCCATCCTACCTGAAAATAAAGTTTCTATAGAAATTCTAGCTGTGCTGGAGTTTCTGCTTTTCACTGAAGTTCTGCTTTGTCTAGCAGTTGGTTTTTGTGCTTACCATGTGGGTACCAAATGCTTCTTCAGGGTTTCAATTTTGCAGTAGGCTAATAGGTGTGTTACTGTACGTATTAGAGTTAGAAAAGCCTTGTAGATCGTTAACTTGTCCCCATTTCTAGGACAGGGTGGTCATAGAAAAGGCTGGTACTGTATCTGGCAATGGGTTTTTTTGCCACTGATTTTGGTTCACATCTGAAGATTTCAGAAATAATCTTAGAAGATTTCATCTGTTAAGTAAAGTTACTTGGTTTCTTTGTGGTGTATAAGCCTGGTTGAGGAAGACCAGACTCAAAAACCTCCACAGCTGTCCTGCCTGTTGTCCTGGGGAGAACTTGCCACCACTGTTTTGTACACTGCTTTGGTGGCCTTCTGGGGCCACATTTCAATACGCTTGACCTGTTTGCTTCTTCATCCATCCATCTGGCTGGCTTTCTGCATGGGGGCCTAATTTACTCCATTTTTTCCCCCTGTATCTTCAGAAGGTGTCGCAGAGTCTGTGCTCCTCACGGGTGGCCACGTTGGGCTCGGGGGGACAGGGGTGGCAGTGCTTGCAGGAAGCGCTGGCGGCTGCGCCCGGGTATCTTGGGCCGCGCTTCCTGTCGGTTAAACCACGAGCAGGGGCGCAGATGCGCCAGAGATGGCAACAACGCCGCCTGCCCCAGGCAGCCATTGTGTAACCTGCTCTCTTGGCTGCGGCATGCTCCGCGCCCACGCGCCAGGGGCCTTGCTGTGCCTCCCAGACCCTTCTTTAGACACCTCAGAGTAAAGATCAGGGTTTATTCAGTTCAACAGAAAGCAGGACTTGAACTTGTGAAGCGTGAATTGTATGAGAGTAACCATCAGAGTTGTCTTAGCACAGTGAGAGCTGAGGTCTGGTGTTTTGTTTTCCACAGCTAGTGTGGGAGTTTGTAAATGCGTCTGAGAAACAGGCAGGTTGGGCCTCAAGTTGTCCAATTTCACTAATATCTTTCTGGGCAGGTAATTGCTGTGTTACCTGACCAGCTTTTATTGTAAAATCTGACTTTCGAGTGGGCTTTTTTTTCTTTTTAATTATTAATTTTTTCATCTTAATACACTTGTGGTTTTGAGACAGCTCTGGCTTTCAGTTAAGCAGCTTTTTAGAAGTGCACAGAAAAAGCACGTAAAACCTTCTATTGTAAATGATGTAAATTTTTAATGTAGGTTGCATGATTTCTGAAGATATTTATGTTATTGCAACATAATTAATTTATTGAAACTAGAACTCTCGTAGTGTCTACCCCAGCATCATATTTTAGAGAACCGAGTACGCTGCACATGAAACTTATTTTAGAACTGAAACTGTGCATACATTTCAGTCTTTTTGTCTCATGTGGTGACCTTTTCTTCCTTATGTGACAGCATAGCTCCCAGAATACTGTTTTTTTCTCTTAAACTGTATGTTTGTTGACTAGCCAGCGTTGAGTAGGTATGTCTTTGCCATGTGATAAAATGTTTCTGTACTATATGCTCTTTAAAATAGAGGGTCTCACCTGAGGGACGCATTCCTCAGGGTAGGGAAGAGTAGAAAGGTTGTAGGGACAGTGAGATTGGATGGGTAAGGGGTTTGGGGTTTTTTTGTTGCAGTTGGTTTAGGTTTTTTCCTCCTGTCTTGTGTTGGGCTGTGGGGCGCTCTGCATCGCAGCCCACATGAGAGATTTTGCATACAGAGAAGAGCTGCTCTCACAGAGGCAGGCACTGCTCTGAGCTCCTGGTCCCCTGGGTTTCTGCAGGGCCAGGAGCCAGCACCACAAAGGCAAAGCTCGGCATTTTGCCTCTGTGAAAGGCACCAGCTCTCACATTTCTACCATAGCTGCTCTGGATGCTTTTCACAGCGATGGGATGATTCTGCTGGCCTTTCTCACTTTCAGTTTTTGAGCACTGTTGTTCTCAGTACTGTCATGTTTGAGAAAGGAAAGATACAAACAGGGCACAACCCCTGAGGGGAACGCATAGTAAAACCTGCACAAAACTGCTTGAAGTGTATGGCATCTTGAAAAAATGCATAGATGTGTGGGATTTTACCCACCCCCAATTCTGATACTATTTCATTGTATCTATGGTCACAGTAAACCACTGAGACTTCACAGAAGCAGGTGAAATGTTAGACAACAGAAATTAAAAAATGAGAGTGGAGGATAAATTAAAGAATGGATTAGAAACTATGTAAAACAGTCTGTCTCTTCATTACCTTGTTTATTGTATTAGTTAATTTTCCATCTATCACTCAGCTTTCCCTTGTGTTTTCTTCTTTTGCTTTTTTTTTTGGTGCTTTTTTATTTTTTATTTTTTTTAGTTCTTTATTGTGAGGGTTTTTACCATATAGTTTTTTGTTTGTTTCATTGGATTTTTTTTGTTTTGCTTTTTTGTTTGTTTGGGTTTTGTTTGTTTTGTGGTGTAAGGTGGATTGTTATTTTTTTATTCTTTTTTCTTTTTTTCTTTTTTTTTCTCCTGACTCTGGGTTGAATGTTGTACTGGGAGAGGAAAGGGTAGATTGGAAGTGATACATAAAAAACAATTCTGCCTCTGGTTCCTATGATAATTTGTGGGTTTTCATAACAGAGATGATGTCTGCTGAGGAGCTTCTTGCGTGATGAGGCTGTGGTGCTGCAAGAAAAGCTGGAATGTTTGTTTTCCCAGAGAACTAAACGAAAATTGTCAGAAGGCTGGAACAGCTGTCCTGTGAAGAAAATCTAAGAGAATTATTCAGCCCAGAAAAGAGAAGACTCCAGAGAGATCTTATTGCAGCCTTTCAGTGTATAGATGGGACTTACAAGATGGATAGAGATGTTTTACCGAGTCCTGTAGTGCTAGGAAAAGGGACAGTGGTTTTTGACTGAAAGAACATAGATTCAGATTGGACGTAAGAAAGACATTTTTGACAATGAGGGTGGAGAGGCACTGGCACAGCTTGTTCAGAGAGGTTGTGGATGCCCTATCCGTGGAAGTGTTCAAGCTTAGGTTGGATGGTGCTGTGAGCAATGTGATCTAGTGACAGATGTCCCTGCTTCCGGCAGTGGGATTGGACTTCGATGATCTTCAAAGGTCCTTTCTAATTCAAACCATTTTCTGGTTCTCTGCATTGGGCCTGCATCAACTCTTGATAATTTAGTGAAGTCAGATGTGACCTAAGGAAAGACCTTTCACCTTCAGGAGTTGAAACCTGCCTTTGCTCCCATTCATTATATGGAAAATTTAGAGTAGTCTCCGTCCTTTCTTATGGAAGCGTTAGAGGTTCTTAGACTGAAGGAAAGGTAGGAACAACCTTATCCTTATGGGTTAAAATAGGAAAAGTTGCTGTAGGAGAAATATGTCTCCTCAGTTCCCCTTCTGTGTATGACACTGTAAGGGTTTCTCTTTTGGGAAGCATGAGTGTGCTTGTGCAACAGCCCCATTCAGACAATGCCTGAGAGAGGGGGCAAGTGCATACTGAAATATCTGTATTATTCGCTCTGCAGAGCCAAGGGGAGGAAGAAGGAGGTCTCCAGGTTTGTGAGCCACTAGCTGCAGTGAAATTGTGCTGCTTTCTTTTGCAGAATGAGACCAAGTTGAGCACACAATTCAGCACAAGGTGATGGAGTGATTTTGCATTTTCCCCAGGTGATTTGGTTCCCCCCCCAGCCCTGCCTGCTGCCTTGCTTCCTTCCAGGGCAGTCAGGCTGGCTCACAGAGCCTAGTGGTAGCTGGATAGCACAGGGACATGGGCAGCAGCCACCTCTGATGCCTTACTTAGTTCTGCAAAAGACATAGGAACATGAATGATGAAATGAGGAAGAAGAGAGGCTTGAATTTCTCTACACCTGGTTTGTGGGAGCTCTGAAAGTTTCCAGAATGCGCTGATCCTGTAGGTGTTTTCATGCAACACTCATAAATTCTGTGTCAAGTTCATTTCATTAGCAGTGAATTTCTGTGTCTCCCAGGAGCAGGTGTGTGCTCATATGAGAGTGACTTAGGCTTCAGTGTACACTTCCCCAGACATTACGAAATGAGAAATACTGGCCTGTCCAGACACTGCCTTCCCTGGAGGGACCTTTGCAGACCCTATTCCTTTTCCATAGCACTCTTAAGAAAAATATTTTTGCTTTTTTATTTTAATCTTGTTGGTCTTTAAGTTGTGCTTTGTCACTGTTTGAAACCCCATGGCAGGAATTGTTAGTCTAACAACAAATCAGAAGATAATTTATATTCTCTTAATAGCCAAGTTCAATAGTTTGAAATTCCCCAGACTAATAGTCTCCCTTCTTAATCCTACCCCATGCAAATACTTTAGAACATGAATTTAGGCAACATTTATTTCTGTAAAAAGAAAAATGTTCAAATGGCATGGGAATATTAGTTTCTGTCTTATTCTGCATAGCTGCAAGTTAATGTATTTATTATTGTAATTATGCTGAACATCATGAAGCATATGCATTCTTAGAATAACCTGAATGAATATATTGCATTTCAGAGCACATTACAATTGGGAGCTTAAAAGCCCAAAAAGCTAACTCTTAATTATGTCTTGTGTGAATGTTCTCCACTACAACTGTGTAAGCAGTCTCTCACCTTGAGGAGGTTTTAAAGTCATGATTTTAGATATTCCCTATTTGGTTCTTTAATTAAGATTTTTTTCTGTATAGTTTTGAATTACTTGGGTCTGTAACATGTTATGTCCTGGACAGATGTTCAGTACTGCAAAAATGTTTGTACTCTTCATACTGTTAATGCTGCTTCTCCAGTTCAGGCAGTCTTCAGCACCCCATTGATTTAACCCAGGAGTGGCTTTTTGGGAAGGGCAGTACTGAACAAATAGGTGAAGGGCCTTGTTTTTAAAAAGGCATTTGGTTCAGGATTCTTACTGTGCAGGATTAAGAAGCAAAGGCACCATCATACTCCAAGTCCAGGGACTGGGGGATGAAAAGCTGCACATCACCCAACAATGTGTGCTTGCAGCCCTGAAAGCCAATTGTATCTTGGCCTGCATCAAAAGCAGTGTGGACAGCAGGGTGAGGGGTATGATTCTGCCCCTCTGCTCTGCTTTCCTGGGAGCCCACACTTCCATGATTCTGTGAAAAGAACACAATTCAGTGAATTTCTGTCTTGGAACCTGAAAGGTAATTACCTTTTGAAAAGCTGGCTGAAATGAGACAAACATATGCAAGAGGAAAATAAGAACAGGATAGAAGGATTTGCCTCTGAAAATGTTGTTCTTAAGGCATATCAAGTGAGTAATGCTGAAGATGCTAGTAGGGAGAAAGAAGGAAAGATGATGACCAAGACTGGAGATAAAAAGCTCAAATCTGCAGCTTCTCTGCAGGGGTGACGGAGTAATCTCTGGAAGGTTTAGAGACAAGTGAATTGTGTTGCTTCTTTCCATGTACGGTGGGGAGATACTCAGTGTGTCTACAGTGGATAAGATTATTGGTATAACCTGCACATAGAACTCTTTGTGCTATGTGCTCCACACCCTTAAGTAGTTGGCTGTCTAGTAACAAGGTGGTTTGTGTACCAAACAAGTTACAGCAAGAGCCTAAGGTCTGGGTTTTGTTGGTTTGGTTTTTTTTTTTCTTTG